GGGCTAGGAGTCCAGGTAGGACGTGGGAACGGAGCTGGCTGGGTTATGGCAGGTGCTTGCACTGGGGACGGGGCTGAGGGTGGGCACTGGCAGGCCAGGGTGTGGCCAAAGTTCTGAGTGACCCCAGATACCTGAGCTCTGCAGGTAGGATCTCTGCTGCCAGGTTTTCCACAGCCGGTGAGGTGGGATCCAGTGAGGGGTCTGGAGAATGTGAGAAACATTTCAGTTAGCTGCACGGCCTCCACTCCCATCCTTAAGATCCTCTGTCCAAGAATCATCTTTTTTGTTTGTTTTTTTAATCCTCACTCGAGGATATTTTCCCATTCGTTTTTAGAGAGTGAAAGAGAGTGAAAGACAGAGAAATATTGATGTGAGAGAAACACATCGATTGGATTGGTTGCCTCCTGCATGAGCCCCAACCAGGGCCCGAGCCTGGGGGCAGCCTGCAACCGCGGTACGTGCCCTTGACCAGAATCGAACCTGGGACCTTTCGGTCCACAGGCCAATGCTCTATCCATTGACTCAAACCAGCTGGGGCCAAGAACCATCTTTGAGGGCTCAAGTGCAGACAAAAGTCTGGCCTGACATAAGCCCCCACCATGACCTCCAGCCTGGCAAGGAGCCGTGATGCTTGGCCCGCCCTGAGCTCAGGAGGACAGCTCCCGCCTTCTGTCGGCCTATCACCTGCCCCTCTAGTGTCTCTCCAGCAGGACCGAGTTCTGCTCCCAGCCTAGACAGGCCCCGAGGCACTGCCTTTTCTGCCTGCCTAACAGCACCCCAGGCCACACATACTCCCAGGATCCCGGGATGGGCCCCAAACTCACCAGCCTGGCTCGGTCCCCGAGGCTGCAGCTGGGCACAGCGCAGCTCCTCATTGGCCTCCCGCAGTGAGTCCCGCTCAGCCAACAGCCGCTGGAGGGAAGGGGTGCAAGACACCACTTGAGGCCCACTCGAGTGGGCTACTCCATGAAGGACGGGGTGGGGAGGGAGGGCTTGTGTGGTAGGACCTCAGCCTCACCTCTTTCTCCTTTGTTACCGACTCATACTTTTCCTCCAGGTTGCGACACTCAAATAGCCATTTTTCAGCCTTCATGGCCTCCTCCTGCTGCTGGCTCTGCAATTCCTGAA